GAATACTTTATTATCTCTCACTGCAGCTGAAACCCCATTTGTTGAGATTTCCAAATTGCTAATAAGTGTTGTGTGTGTGTGATTATATGTGTGTGTACACATGCGTAAGTGCATAATATGGCATCATTTTTGAAAAACAAACACTGGAATGTTGGGTACATCAGACATCCTAGAACATACTTTTAAAAGCTCTAATTATAGTTGCACTCTACTTTGATTGTTGTTTGATTAATCTATATCAACAACTGAACAAGTCATAATTTAATAGGAAGGACACCCAGACATTCTGCTGATGGCCCAAACGTATATATTCACAGTGTTAAGTGCTGAAAATAAACATCATACCTGATAGAGCATGATGGGTTCTATGTTGTATCCTAATGTGTCAGCAAAGTTCTTAACAATGACTGTTTTTCCACAACCCTACAAATGCAAACAAAATCATTCAAAGGGTATGTCAAAACAACCAAAAGACAGGAAAGAGAATTTTGCATTGATGCTGCTATTCTTACTTTTCCTCCAATTAAGCATAAGTCTTTAACCATGTGAGACTGCATCATTTCAGCCAGTAGTTGCTTATGGCTTAAAGTCTGTATGAAATGGTCTGAGGAACAAGGTTGACTTAATGGCTTGGTCCCAGCTGGCACCTAAAATTATGCAGGAGTAAAGATAAAATGCATATGTTTTTGTCAAAATATTAGTAACTTAAAGCAAATAAAAAGCATTAAAAGCCCATGAATTCTCTGCCAGATTCAATTCTATATTGTTACCGATATTTCAATAGAGCAGCAACTCTTCTCATTCACAGATCAGATGTGCATTTTCATCAAACTTCTAAATCAGCCATCCCTCTAAAATTAATCCTCATACTGTTAGGTATTTTCATTGAGAATCAGGTCATTTTCACGCTTTCTGTAATTTGTAGTAACATGACTTCTGGAGAAGGAAGAGTTTTTTCTAAATTCCAGCTATAAGTGCAGTATTTAAAGTCAGTCCCCTGAGACTCTCTAAAGTCACCAGTGATTTCTTGCTTTCTAAAAGCCATGTCTACAAACCCATTTCTACTCTGAGTTTGCCCTCAGAAGCATCCATCCTTAAAATCTCTCCTATCCTTCACATCTACTTCTCCTTTGACTTCCTGTTCTTTTCTTATCAGTCCCATGGGGACCACTTTAGGAAAGGATTTCCATGCTATGCTGAGGACTCTGGATTTGATCACAGTATACCCAATATGAACTCTAAGGAGTTCTAAGTTTGGAAGTGACAGGATCAGATTTGTATTTAAGGTCATCCTGGTAGTAACGTGGAAGACTAACTGGAAGGGGCTGGAGGCACTAAAGTTAGAAAGCAACTACCAAAGGGATGCAAGTAATGCAGGTCTGCTCATACCTCATGCCTCTGACTTACTGTTTAAACTACCTGCACTGTCCTATCACCTTCCCACTCTTCAGTTACTGGAAGACTGCTATAGTATTCATTAAGACTCAGCTCAAAGTTCATCTTCTCTGAAACTTTCTGACTCCTCCTGACCACACTATTACATCCTTCTTTACATCCCCAAAGCCATTCTAATTCAGTTCTCACTATCTGTCTATGTCCTAGACTATCAGGTTTATGATTTCATTCATCTTAAGGAGACAGCAGAGGAAAGGAGAAGGTGACTCTGTCTAGAAACCCTAGCTCAGTCACATACTAGATGATGTTCTTGGGTGAATCAATTAAATTTTTATATTTCAGTTTTTTAATCTATAACATGGAAATTATAAAATTTACATCCAGGGTTATTGGAGATACAAATAGCATAATATATGCAAAGAGATAATTACAGTGACTAATACATTTAAAAAAAAAAAAAAAAGACACTGCCATCGAGTCAATTCTGACTCATAGCAACCCTATAGGGCAGAGTAGAACTGCTCCATAGGATTTCTAAGGCTGTAAATCTTTACAGAAGCAAACTGCCTCATCTTTCTCCCATGGAGTGGCCAGTGAGTTCAAACTGCCAACCTTTTGGTTAACAGCCCAACACTCTAACCACAGTGCCACCAGAGCTCCTTAATACACTTGGTAAATCTTAGTCCCTTTCCTATTTGAAAATGCTGTAGAAAACAAAACAGATGTACACATTTTCCTCTGGCACACAGTAGATATAATCAGTGTTCATTTAAATGAATGAATAAATATAGTAACATGTATTAGTATGAATATCATGTTAAAAGTAAAAGTCTAATGTGAATGTTTTCTCTGTCACAGCCTAAGAAGGTAAGCATTTACTTTTTCTTGTATTCACTTACAATTTATTTATGTCAGTGTTTTCAAGCTGTGTTTCCTAGAGAACTAGTTTCTCATGACCTTCTTGAGTTCTTAGGGCCTCACAGAAAGGATTAAGAGAAAGAGAGGTGGAGCAAACAGATAGGGCTCTATGACCAAGTATCATTCCCCTCCCCTAAAAACTGTTTACCAGGACAGTTCCTTTTTTTTCTCCCCAACCGTTTCATGTAGCTAAGAAAGATTTTATTTGAAAAGAAGGTTCCCTAGAAGCTAAATTATATTTGATAACTCTATTTCCTACCTAAGATCCATAATATAAAAAGCTTTCATTTACTAACAGATGATTGATTTTTCCCAGTGGTCGGCTTTGGTTTTTGATGACAGGCTATCTCTGTTTCTGCTTAACTTTTCTAGTTTAATGCACATGTGACTATGGATACACAGATGTACAAATATACCGATACAGATGTATAAAAGTGGAACTATAAAGCTAAACAAAACTTACGAGGCGATCACAAACAAAACTTAGTTCATAAAAATGGCAGAATAAGGCACATCTTAGGAAGTAGAAACCTGTGATTCATTACCTTAATGGTCACCTCCTTTTCTGCAATCTGTATAGTCACAGACGCTTGGGAGACATGGTTTCCAGTTATCCTCTCCACTCTTACAATCTCTTTAGGAAGTACAGAGCTTCTTGAATCCTGGAGTTCAAAGCGCTGTAAATACAAGAATATCACATAACTTACTTTTGATTTTAGTATTAATGTTGGCTATCTTGAGGAAATAAAGGTTCTACCTTATTTAGAAATGATCCCCACTCTACAGTATAAAAACTAGAGGTTAAAAAAATTAAGGAGAAATTTTTTCTTGTTCCTACTAATGCCATCCTATTTAAATCAACTGGTAAAGGTGATATAAAAATAGTCCCCAGGATTTACTAAATGACATGAAATGAAATTGCTGAATTCCTAATCTGGTAGAAGTTCCCAACCTAAATTTCTTGAAAATCAAAGGTTCCAGTTTTCCTTGAAAAGAATGGTGAGATTCTAAGATACAGGTCAAAGTAAAACAAAGCCTTTGTCGGTCGATTTTTTTGAACCAAGTAAAGTTCGTAAGTTGCCTGAATTTTAAGAAAACAGAAATTCTTGGACGTCATTCTGCAGTTAGCCTGTGTGGTTAGCTTAACTGATTAAACTAAACTCCAACAATCAATCTACCACCACATCTGGCACAGTGCTTTCTACAATGTAAGACTCTCAATATTTGTCAAATGGATTTAAAAGACCAAGACCATTGTTTCTTTCTCAGTGTGGGACAATTATCAATGTTCCAACACTGACTACACCCCTTGATACCAGCTAGTTACATCAAAAAAGCACTGAGGAAATACATTAGTATGTGAAAAATGGGAATACTAACGGAAAATTAATTAAATCCTTTACCTTACTAAGCAGGAGGTTCAATAGGAAAAGCTGAACTTTTTTTTTTTTTAATTAAATAGGTAGAAATTATGTTACTCCCATAAAAAATTCCCACAACAGTTTTGAGATATTATCACTGTAGTGAAAGAATTGAATCTTGGTGAAAGAACAGATCAACGCTTCCTCAGCAGAAAAAGAGAACTCCAGGAAAGAGATTTCTGTGACGACAATGGTCTTCAATCTCAACATTCTAAAACATAAACAGCCTAGTTCAAGGCTTCATTTTGGTGCCAGAAATACTAAAAAAAAAAAAAAGTGTGGTACTAATAATGCAAGGATCAACAAACAGGCGAGTCCAGAAACAGAACCATGCATATGTGGACACTGGTTAATGGTGAGAATGATACTGGAGCAAAGTGGAAAGGCCTATATTATTAA